CTTAAAGACATAAATATGACATGCATACTCATCAGAGTCTTCAACTCGTTGGAAATGCTTAAAAATTACCCTCTCCGTGGTGAAAAATACGGAAATACGAAAGTATGAGTTAGGATGTAGAATTTTGGAGAAAGGCTTAACAAATCTACTAAAGTTTTCGAAACCGCCTTCATATCGGGATGGTACAATTTTTCTGTCAAGGTGGTTAAAGCAGTATCACACAATCTACCTCGTGGTAAGCGGTGAATAAAAACGCCGAAGAGAACGGAAAAAATATGTTGGAAATATCAGCCTGATTAATCATTTTGAATCTTCGAAACCAACTCCTCCCACTTTTTGATTAGTTAAACGCTATGAGCCAACAGCATAGATTGAGGTACAACTTTGCTGGAATATCTTGTTTTAAATAGAACGACAGAGTTTCATCCAGACATAAAAATCGCCTTCATTTTGAGATTATACAGTTTTATTGTCATTAAAGTTAAAATAGTAGCATTTTGCGATTACTTCAATCCTCAACACACTTAGAGGTACTTATAACCAAGAGTTTTAATGATGTAACATTTAATTACGTGTGGCAATCAGCTAAATTTTTAAAAAAAATTTCGCTGTAAAAATTGTGTAAAATTTTGAGTTACTTCACTCAACTTCTCAACGCTGGTATTAGTTTACATTGTCTCGGAGTTCAGTCGAATGGTATTTTAATTTACAAATTAAAATGGAAAACGAAAAAAATTGGGCTGATTTTAGAAATAACTTCAATTTTATTAATTTGCTATGCAGAGTGATGCTTGTGTAAATGAGGCGGAGAAGTTATTTCTGGTTTGTAATATCGACAACTTCTGCTCTCGCAAGAAATCCATTTTGACGATCGGGGATCATGGCTAAAAAAACAAGTTGAACATCAAATCTGAGCGTAGTTCCCACTACTGTGCAGTAAATTTTGTGGTAGGAAGCTAACCCGGACGGCGAACCAGAGAGCACGTCCGGATTCAAGGGTGGCAATTAACGGAGAATGAGGTAAGAAAGAGGTATGTGGGTTAAAGCGATCCCTCCCCCTCCCTCCGTGCCTTCCAATTGAAAACTTAGTTAGTCTGCGTGGGGGGAGACCAACCGACCGAAAATAAAACAGTCAGAATGCAAATGAGCGGGGAGTCGGGGGAACATTGAACAGAAAAAAACAAACATTAATTGTGCGTAAAGTTGTTGGCGCGGGGACAAGATAAGAGGATTTGAGTGGATGTAATCCGGGCCTTTTCAGCCATTCAGCGCACGCAGACGAGAGGGCGGGCGGGGGAGGGAAGGGGGAGCTTCGCCGTTTGCAGCGCTTGATATACGCGGCCCCCTCCGCGCCGAGTTCATTTCAGTAAATAAATTCTAATTGCCCCACGGTCTGACCTATTAACATGGTTTAAGGCTTCGCTTTGGTTTCAGGGCGGTTTCAGTTTCGTCCTCTCGGAGCGGAAAGAGGATTCTGAATTCTTCTTTTTTTATTCATTGATACGATGACGGTTTCTTTGTTTTATCGAACTGGCGGGTGGAACCACCGCGAAACCCGCTGAGGGAAGGAAAGTTTTCTGTTCAGGCTTTTCGTTAGGATAATTATAATTTTGTAACATTTTTTGTAATAATTTTATCACTTTTATATACATCGAAAACGGTACTGACCGGAAAAACAGGGATTGTGTCGCAGTCAAAGGAAGAAAAGATACGAAGAGAAAGAAAATTCAAAATAAGATGCCACACTTTTTTTCCAGGAGGGGTCTGGGTCTCAATTGAACAAAGAGGGATTTTGGGAGTTTTTCTTGGAAAATGTTTTCAAGAATAATCTCAAAGATGAGCAATGTAGCCCATACAACTTCACACTGAAAAAAAAGTTCGGGAAATCCGAACTAGTTAGGATCATATGGAACCAGGTATTGTTCGGTACACACAACCGACTTATTCAGTCTGTTCAACCGAATTGTTCGGTTTGTGCGACCGAACCATAATAAATTTTTACAGTTCGGTTCGGTGGACCGAACAGTTTGGCTGAGCAGACCGAACAGTTCGGCTGAGCAGACCGAATAATGCGGTCGTGTGTACCGAACAAAATCGTGGTTCCATATGATCCTAACTAGTTCGGATTTATCAAATTTTTTTTTTTTCAGTGAGGCTTTTAAGAGCTTACGTTACAACGGCATTATGCCCTTTCATCAAAGGAGCAACGGTAAGATAGAACTTTTCCGTTAGTGCAAGATAAGTTGCACGGAAGGAAAGAGGACGGCGCACAGAGGAACAAGTCAATCAGAGAGGTTGGACATTAAAATTTTTAAAAACTGCAAATTTTTGTTTATTTCATCACGATTAAAATTTAAAGGGATGCTCTCAGAAGAAAATTTCACGAGGAAACCAATGGAACCACTTTTAGAACCTCAAAGCTCTGTATAAACGGAGTTATAAGCGTTTAAAGTTTCCAAATTTTGTCGAACCTCTCCTATTGACTCGATCCACCGTGCGGCGCGGAGCCAAAAAAGACGGAGCGCTCAAGCTCAAACACAGTGAGGAAGAATGAAGAGGAGTAAAAACGTGCTGAAAAAAGTAGCCGAGCATCATCGTGTTTGTTTTAAGATCCGGCGGTAAACTACGAGATAGGAGCATCCTTCGAGGTTATCGCTTGTTTAAAAACAGCAGCACACCTCTTTCAGCGGCCAAGCGCGTAGCACTCTCCACCGCCCTATGGAAAACAGCCGTAAGTGCACCGCGAACTGACCCCCGAAGCGCATAGCGACACGGCACAACCGCGACTCAACTTCCTGCCGTCTCGCGTAGCGCAGTGGTTCCACCGCCCCCGGTAAGATGCATTAGACTAACATTGATTGATGCAAGCCGGTACACAGATGGAACGGAGGAATGCATTTACTACCCCCCATCCCCCCTCTTTTCCAAGTCTCGCGGGAAATATCAGCTTCCGTCGGGTTGCGTGGTCTCGTGGGAACGCCGATTATTTTTCCACCGTGCTGAGGAAGAACACCGTAAGTGCATTCGAGCGTACCGGAAATTCTACCGGCAAAATACTAAATTCCTGATAAAAATTGAGAATATTTTTCATGTAACTTTTCGGTGGACTTAATTCGCAGTATAATTCATTTCATGCGACCAAGCCGAGTTATGAAATTCATACCACTTTTTGAAAATGCGTATTTTATTCGGGAAAATTTGGTAGCGTTCGAATGCTTATCCGACGTTATTTCTTAGAGTCGGAATTTTCCGGGGTTTTTCCGCGGACGGGAGGGCAACTTCGTTCCCATGTTTACAGTTAGCTCGCCCTTTCGCGCCAGTAGCGGTCAAGCCCTACGTTGTCGCTCTTGCTCTTGTGCCGTGCGATAATCGAAAATTGGACGTATTCCTGCCAAACGGAACTATGCGCGTTATGACGTGAGCCCTGTATGCATACATTCCTGTACGTCTTAGGGCTCATGTCTAATTGCACTTAGTTCCGTTTGGCACAAATACGTCCTATTGAGGAGCCTTGCGAGGCGAAGAGCGAAGGCCACCTGGCATCGGACGCCTGACCTAGCCCGGGTCTTGAGTGTTTTGCAATTAACGTTTTTCCGGTGCAGTGACGTCACTGGTGCGTGCATGCAGCCTGAGAAACGGAGTGCAGTTAATCTTCGATGCGACCTTGAGGGAATTCGCAGGGATAATGCACCAGCATGGTGAAAAGAAACTTTCATTAAGAGATCTGATGGATCGTCGTCTTCCGAACGAAGAAACGTAACTCCATNATGTTTCCGAGAAGTGCTCCTCTTCTGCTCGATCCGCTCTTAGAAAAACAACACAAACGAAACTAAAGCATGGGAAGAGGAGCTTGCTCAAAGAGTCTCCGAGTGAAAGAGCTTTTCTCGAGATATTGAGTTGACGACTTTCAGCCGATTTTCCTCCGTGCGCTAACGGGGAACGAAATGTCGCGGAGCCCCACAGCTAATATACTAATAGAATTGTGATCGAGTCATGGTCACTTTTGAAGTCTAGTCTAGGTTCATCCTGCGAGCTAAGTCGCACACATTCGCTCCATGGGTCAGGTAGACTATATCTTTCCAAAACATAACTATTGTTTGGACGGAGTTAAACAGAGAGGAACCAAGCCACATCGGGATCGAACCGAGAAAAAGAGGTTTAAAGTTCGGCTCCTGCATAAGACTCAATGTAAAAGATAAACTTCAAGTTTTGTTTCTGCAAAATTTTGCTCCAACAAAAACTTTGAATTTTTGGCGATAGATAGTAGAGCCATGGTTGAGTTCGAAACCACTCATAACTCAATTTTTTCCAAAATGTGGGTCGGTTCTTCTCTGCTTAACTTAGTCCGTTTATAGCTCAGCTCATTTTAGAAATGAGGGGCTTAGAGGACAAGGCGCATGAGTGCAGTTTTTGAAAACATTTAGATACCAAAAATTTCAAGTAAAACTAATCTAATGCATATTCTGTGAAAAATTCACTCCCGTATTCCAATTTTTAAGCATCAAAAAGTCACTTTAAACTTTCTTTTCGCCATAAGAATCCATTACATTTCGAAACTTCAAAGACGTATTTCTCGAACTAGCAAAAACTGCACAAAAAGTCAGTTTAAACTTTCTTTTCGCCATAAGGATCCACTAAATTTCGAAACTTCAAACACTTATTTCTCGAACTAGCAAAAACTGCACTTATGCGTAGTGTCCTCCAAGCCCCTCAAATGTATACTCCAATAGTTTGCACATGCAGATAGGTATTCGAATGAATGCGCCTGAAGTTCCTCATGAATACAAGTAGTTCCTTTATGCGAAATGTAGTTCAGTTGTGCTGACTCGAAAAAATTGTATTGCGTGTGATTTCACGAAGCAATCGATCAAGTTGATGAGACTTGAAATTTAAAAACTGAGCTAAAACAAATTTCACAGGGCCGAAACCCATAAAAGCTCAACGAGGAGCCATGTTTTATCAGTCTCTGATAATAAATAAGTAAAGCTTAATTTACTCACCGAGCAGATTGGTGTCAGCTATTGATAATCTTGCCATACCCGGGGTATTTAATTCTTGATCTGAAACAAAGAAACGAAGTAATTCAACGTAAAGACATAAATATGACATGCATACTCATCTGAGTCTTCAACTCGTTGAGAATGCTTAAAAGTTACCCTCTCGGTGGTGAAAAATACGGAAATATGAAAGTATGAGTTAGGATGTAGAATTTCGGAGAAAGGCTTGACGAATCTACTAAAGTTTTTGAAACCGCTTTCATATCGGTATGGTACAATTTTCCTGTCAAGGAGGTTAAAAGAGTGGTATATCACACCTCGTGGTAAGCTGTGAATGAAAATGCCGAAAAGAACGAATAAATATGTTGAAAACATCAGCCCACATTATTAATTAACAATACTTTAACATTAATTAAACATTAATAATTTTCAATACTGGAAACCAACTCCTCCCACTTTTTAATAAGTTTAACGTTATGAGTCAATAGCATATATGGAGGTGCAACTTTGCTAGAGTATCTCTTGTCGGTGTGAATAACTGAGTTTCATCACTTTCATTTAGAGACTATAAAATTTCATTGTCATTAATAGTCGCACTATGCGATTACTTCAATCTTCGACACACCTAGAGGTACTTACGATTGAAAATTATACTCATTCATCATCTGATACGTACAACAATCAGCTAAATTTTGAAAAGGAATTTCTATGTAATGATTGTGTGAAATTTTACATTACTTGACTCAATTTATTGACGCTGGTATTAATTTACATTGCCTCGGAGCTCGGTCGAATTGTACAGTGATTTACAAAAAATAATGACCCCCCCCCCCCTAAAAAAATTGGGCTGACTTTAGAAGTAACTTAAATGTCATTAATTTTCTATGTCGGGGTGTCTTCTAAAACAGGCTGGCCAAAAATCAGTACTTTTAAAGTACTTTTTCGGCACATTTCCAAGATTTTCAGTACCTCCTCAACGGTGAAAATTCAGTACTTTTTCAGTACCTCCAATTGACGAAATTCGAAAAATTTCAAAAATTTGAATTTCTTGCTCTAACTGCGACAAAAATGACAACAAATTAAAAAGATTTCGGACCTCCTTGCGGAATTTCCGCACTTTTTCAGTACTTCCGGACCGCCCTTAAGAAATCCGTACTATTTCCGGACTTACAGACACCCTGTATGCGAAGAGATGCTCTCGCAAGAAATCCATTTTGACGATCGGGGATCATGGCTAAAAAAACAAGTTGAACATCAAATCCGAGCATAGTTCCCACTACTGCACAGTAAATTTTGTGGTAGGAAGCTAACCCGGACGGCGAACCAGAGAGCACGTCCGGATTCAAGGGTGGCAATTAACGGAGAATGAGGTAAGAAAGAGGTATTTGGGTTAAAGCGATCCCTCCCCCTCCCTCCATGCCTCTCAATTGAAAACTTAGTTAGTCTGCGTGGGGGAAGACCAACCGACCGAAAATAAAACAGTCAGAATGCAAATGAGCGGGGAGTCGGGAGAACATTGAACAGAAAAAAACAAACATTAATTGTGCGTAAAGTTGTTGGCGCGGGGACAAGATAAGAGGATTTGAGTGGATGTAATCCGGGCCTTTTCAGCCATTCAGCGCACGCAGACGAGAGGGCGGGCGGGGGAGGGAAGGGGGAGCTTCGCCGTTTGCAGCGCTTGATATACGCGGCCCCCTCCGCGCCGAGTTCATTTCAGTAAATAAATTCTAATTGCCCCACGGTCTGACCTATTAACATGGTTTAAGGCTTCGCTTTGGTTTTAGGGCGGTTTCAGTTTCGTCCTCTCGGAGTGGAGAGAGGATTCTGAATTCTTCTTTTTTATTCATTGATACGATGACGGTTTCTTTGTTTTATCGAGCTGGCGGGTGGAACCACCGCGAAAGCCGCTGAGGGAAGGAAAGTTTTCTGTTCAGGCTTTTCGTTAGGATAATTATAATTTTGTAGCATTGTTTATATTAATTTTATCACTTCTATACACGTCGAATACGGTACTGACCGGAAAAAACAGGGATTGTAACCGTGCGGCGCGGAGCCAAAAAAAACGGAGCGCTCAAGCTCAAACACAGTGAGGAAGAATGAAGAGGAGTAAAAACGTGCTGAAAAAAGTAGCCGAGCATCATCGTGTTTGTTTTAAGATCCGGCGGTAAACTACGAGATAGGAGCATCCTTCGAGGTTATCGCTTGTTTAAAAACAGCAGCACACCTCTTTCAGCGGCCAAGCGCGTAGCACTCTCCACCATCCTATGGAAAACAGCCGTAAGTGCACCGCGAACTGACCCCCGAAGCGCATAGCGACACGGCACAACCGCGACTCAACTTCCTGCCGTCTCGCGTAGCGCAGTGGTTCCACCGCCCCCGGTAAGATGCATTAGACTAACATTGATTGATGCAAGCCGGTACACAGATGGAACGGAGGAATGCATTTACTACCCCCCCATCCCCCCTCTTTTCCAAGTCTCGCGGGAAATATCAGCTTCCGTCGGGTTGCGTGGTCTCGTGGGAACGCCGATTATTTTTCCACCGTGCTGAGGAAGAACACCGTAAGTACATTCGAGCGTACCGGAAATTCTACCGGCAAAATACTAAATTTCTGATAAAAATTGAGAATATTTTTCATGTAACTTTTCGGTGGACTTAATTCGCAGTATAATTCATTTCATGCGACCAAGCCGAGTTATGAAATTCATACCACTTCTTGAAAATGCGTATTTTATTCGGGAAAATTCGGTAGCGTTCGGATGCTTATCCGACGTTATTTCTTAGAGTCGGAATTTTCCGGGGTTTTCCGCGGACGGGAGGGCAACTTCGTTCCCATGTTTACAGTTAGCTCGCCCTTTCGCGCCAGTAGCGGTCAAGCCCTGCGTTGTCGCTCCCTTGCTCTTGAGCCGTGCGATAATCGAAAATTGGACGTATTTCTGCCAAACGGAACTTGCGCGTTATGACGTGAGCCCTGTATGCATACATTCCTGTACGTCTCAGGGCTCATGTCTAATTGCACTTAGTTCCGTTTGGCACAAATACGTCCTATTGAGGAGCCTTGCGAGGCGAAGAGCGAAGGCCACCTGGCATCGGACGCCTGACCTAGCCCGGGTCTTGAGTGTTTTGCAATTAACGTTTTTCCGGTGCAGTGACGTCACTGGTGCGTGCATGCAGCCTGAGAAACGGAGTGCAGTTAATCTTCGATGCGACCTTGAGGGAATTCGCAGGGATAATGCACCAGCATGGTGAAAAGAAACTTTCATTAAGAGATCTGATGGATCGTCGTCTTCCGAACGAAGAAACGTAACTCCATCCCGAGGTTGCCAAATGACTGAAACAATTGTTATCTTTCACAAAAATGTATCCGTGCAATTTTATCCAACATTTTTCTGATTTGTGCATCAAATCCGAGGAATAATTGGACCGCGTTTAACAGAAAGGAACCAAGCCACATCAGCTATTGCCAATTTTAACTGGGCAATTTAATTTTTTACGAGAGAACGTTTGTGCGGATCCCTTTGAAAATGTTAAGGAATTTGCTTCGTACTATGGAGAAAATTCACTGAAATTTGCACGAAAATCCGCACAACTGTTTTCATGTAAAAAATTTAATTAGCCGATTAAATTTGGCAATAGCTGATGTGGCTTGGTTCCTTTCTGTTTAACGCGGTCCAATTAGTGACTTTGTCAGTCAGATACGCCAAGAATTCTCCTGCTTAATATGCAATTTTCGAGAGGAATTCGGCAAATTCAAAATGTAGCTACGTTTTTTCGTACGGGAAACGACGATAAGAACAGCAAACAGAGAGTCTGTCGGGGTAAAATCGCGAGAATGCACAGAAGCAAAAGTCTGAAATCGCTTTTCTCGAAGTGAAATTCGGGTAGTCCATGGCAAAAATCCTCAAAGACGGGGTATCGATAGGGCCGTTTTTGGGCTCATCCTGAATTTCCTCAACTTCACGATTTTCCGCTCACTAAAGGTCTATATTTTATAACGGAATGCATCATGATTTGGTCATTTTGGGTCTATTTTCGTGTCTCATACTGGCCTGAACATTGGTCTGAAGGCCGATTTTGGCGAAAACTGCGAGTTCCGCGGGTTTGCGGTCAAATACAATAAAATCTTTATGTTTCGGCGTTCATACCCATGTCTAGGTCAATGTTAGACCTAAAAAAAGACCGCAGGTAAATGAGCATTTCATAATGCATTCCGTAAAGCATAGACCCTGAATGACAAAAGAAACGTACCATGGGCCCAATAGGCCTTTATGGATGCCCCTCATTTCCTGTATTCGCCAACAACAAAGTCTAATGCAAAGGAAATGTACGAAATTCTAACCTTACAAAACACACAAGTAATATCGCAAGTTGCAATCAATCATTTCTACGTTCGTTATATCCATCTTTATTTGTTCACTTATGTGGGAATACTTTCATATTATTCATACAGAGGAGCCTAATGTTTAAAGCATTAATCGGATGAAATAAATCTAAAAGTCCCAAAGACTTTACTTTCCCTGGTAAAAATTGGCGATAAGAGCTGCGTTTCAAAATACCATAGGAATTCTTATAGCCGGCTAAAGAAGGCTACAGAAAATCATATAGCTGGCTGTAGAATGCGGAGAAAATCATACGGCCGGGCTATACGAGGCGATTAAAAATTATGCAGCCGGGCTAGTTCCTATAGCCGGGCTTTAAACTTTGTCGCCTGTTGCTTTTTCGCCATCAATTATAAAAGGCTATAAGAAATTGTGTAGAAATTCGTGTGCTTTGGAAATCATTAAGTTTGATACGAAACCACCTTAATATTTACAAAACACACGTTATATTTTCCTTTAATACATATTTTTTTTTCATCAATTAAAACGAGAATAATCCATACAGGATGTGCAAACATTTTAAAATCATGAGTTGAATAACGCTGGCTCCGCCAGATTAAATATTAGAGCCTAGCACAAAGCGGAGCGGCCACGCACTGGCGCCTACAAACCTAACAGGGATACTTCACGCATTGCGCAACGCGTGAAGTATCCCTGTTAGGTTTGTAGGCGCCAATGCGCGTT